TAATAAATTTCTGATCAAACTAAAGATGATTTAATGATCAGCAAAATTGGCTCATATTTATTGTAATCTTCACAAATCTAATTAGTTTCAGTGATACAATTCGTCTGCGATATTATTTCAAATTTCTAGAATCGGTCCTTTTTCTATCTTGTTGAACAACTGCATGTATAGAATTGGTTATTTCAATTGAGGCATCATCATTCACATACTTAATTTAGTGTTCAGATAAAGTTTTTATTTAATAGTGAATGTTCAGTTCAAAATAAGTGACAAATTGTTCATTAATTAATCACCCGAGACTCATATCAATATTTGAAAGTTTACTTTTATTTAGTGTTTTTCTCTAGAGTATTTTGTCTTTCTTAATGTGTGTTAGCCATCTCTATACTTATAGTTAAATCGATCTGCTCAATTTTTCAATCATCGTCAAGAAAGCAGTTTTAGTATAAACTTGGACTATTCTCCATCATATTTCATTTCTTCTTAGCCACATCTCACACTCACATACCAATATTCTCATTTTGCTCACCATAGAAAAGATATAATATCAGATCGCTATATGTCCTGCTTTGTGCTTCTCTCGTTTTCTCATATATATATACAACATTCAAATTATGTCATATCCAAAGGATTTCTTTTTTTCATGCGCATTGAATGACGAGGACATCAAGCAATTATTGATTTTTCTTCTCGACAAGCAAAGATGGACAAGTCAAGTCATTTTTTGACTTGAAACAAGTCAAGTCAAGTCAAGTCAGACTTGACTAAACTTGACTTGACTTGACTTGCGAGATTTCTGGATGACTTGACTTGACTTGTGACTTGACCCTCAAAGGCAAGTCACAAGTCAAGTAACAAAATGAACATATTTTTGAAATTTATGCGTCTAATTCTTGTCTACATTAAAAGTACCTATCAGAGCAGAAGCAAAGAAAAAGAAATTCTTTCATGTACTTCAGATAAGCGGCGGCCAAATGAGAATATATAGTCATTTTTTGACTTGACTTGACTTGACTTGAATAGTTTTTTTGGTGGTTAATGACTTGACTTGACTTGACTTGGGTTTTCATTTCAATGACTTGACTTGACTTGAACCTTAAAAACCTCTGACTTGCCCATCTCTGTCGACAAGTGAAGAATAATCAAGAATGTAAAGAAGAACAAGTGGCAACTTTTTCTACCATCAACGGGAAAATAAAATGGACGACAGGAACAACAAAATATTATTAACTGTTTCTTTTGTTTTTTTTAATAATTCCGATGCCGTCTTGAAAGTAGATAGAAGAAAACGAAAAATACATTCATTCTGCTTTATTCTTCAAACAATACTTTTATATAAGAGCTAAAGAAAATGTTTCAAGCAAGTTTCCATTATCAAAAAAAAAATTCTCAGTGATAGAAACGAATAAAACACAGTCGAATTTGAACTATGTAAAAACAAAATAAGTCGATCCAATGTCTTTTATATGTATTTAATCGATTCATGATACTATGTAATGCTGGAATGAAAAACAGTACTCTTAAATGTTAAGCATGCATCTAGAAACATAAGAATAATAAAGATCATAAATGAGGCATGTTTAAAAATTAGAGCTGTTAGAACTGTATTATGCCGAGTATAATTTGTAATTCATCAATAAGAAGGTACAAAAATCTTTCTATTCACTTAATTTTGTTAATACTGAGAATTTTTAGCTTTTATGTGGTCAATCTTCTAGTCGTCATATGAACAGTTTTTGTTGTATATAAATACACTGCATCACTAGTAGATTTCACCAAACAAAATGACACAAGAATATTTATTATCTCGAAGATTCCAAGAAGAATCGTGAAAATATGTTGTACTTTTGAATCAACCGACAAACAAACACTTTCAATATAAGAAATAGTTATTGCAAAATGCTCATATTCGTACATAAAAATTCATTTTTGTTGCTTTTAAAGTTTGGGTACTAAACAAAGAACAAAAACAAAAATAACTTTTGTATTTCAATGAGAGAATACTTTTTTTGAAAAAGTGAAAACAATGATTGATTATAAGTAGAACGAACATTCCTTATAAATACAATACTTTTTAAAACTACAAATTATAATTTTTCATAAATACATTATCTAATTAGACCTCATCTGCATTTTTCTAAATTACGAAGCGTAACAATCTGAACTCAAAACAAAAATCGCGAACAACGAGCAAGATAAGAAAAATTCTTGTTTTAGAAAGTTCATAATTTCAATATTCTTTGTCAAAAATATGATTTAGACAGTAGTCTCCATCTTGGGCAAAAACAATTTGAAAGATAATTAACAAAAGGTAAAATCATTTACCAAAACCACTAATCGATGGCTAGTTTCGAAAGTGGTCAACGAAGAAGTCAATCGGGAAGTTTGACAGACTAATGCACCTTTCTTTGATGAATTTCCCTGAATAAAATAGCAGTAGTTCGAGCGATTGACAGTGAGAGCAATCAAAAATTTTATGACGAATGTTGGTGTGGGTGAAATGCAAAGGAATACTCACAACCAGACCCACACCCACACCCAAAAATTCATTGCTGTTGCTTCTAGAACTCGAGTGTTGATCAAAGAACAAAGATAAACAGAAACTTTTTTTTTTCGCCAAAAAAAGTTCATTTGAAAGATCGAAAATAACTATGTATTATTTCTTTGTAAAATTTAAAAGGAAAAATTTTGATGTAAATCAATTGGCGAATTAACATTCATGTGGATTTTGTACATCATATAGCGTTGCAATACCAACTGACTCCGATTATATCGAAGAATAAAAAAGTATTTAGTAAATATGATGAAAACTGTTTCGTTTTTTTTTTCTTCTAACAAACATAATATATAATAGAAACAGAGAAAACAATTTACATAAGCAAATAAGACTTCGAAGAAGACTTTTTCTTGCTTTGAAAGGTTCAGAATTTTAATATTCTTTATCAAACATATATGAAAGAAAGTTAAAGAAAAGACAAATCGATTAGACTATTGCTTGAATTACAACAACAGTATTTGGTTGATCAAACATTACGCTTTTTACATGAATTTATTCGATTCAATAATGATTACAAATATTGAAATATTTTGACAATAACTAAATGTCTTGCAGATGAAATTTGTATAAGTCTTCATCTGAGTTTTTGATCAAAGTAAAGAGAAGCAATTCAGACACTTCAATTTCATATTAAATATCGAATAGTCACTCAAAGTCGTGTAATCATTGATAATGAACTTATTTATCTTGTAATCATTGATAATTATAGGCTTCAACGGCACATAAAGAACAGTTGGGTGTCGGATAAGATACGGCTATTGTCTATTCTCACAACCGACACTAGTGTGAGAGTTAAAACGGTTATATTTTGATTTAATTGATATATTTGATAGAATAAGATAAAATATATGTATTTCATTTATGCATTCATCTGCAAATTACGTTTTCTCGTATTTACCTGTCGACTATGAATGAAACAATATATTCTTTACTGTACGACATGAGGAGGTTTTTCTATGTTAATAGCTACGAGCGAAATACGAAAATTACTATCATCTTTATTGAACATATTTTTATGAAGTATACATGGTTTCGCAGTAGAAGTATGTCTTTGAAAGTGCCGTAACAGAGTCAATCGGTCGAATGATCAAAGAACCATCATCCATCTGTCTCTTATGAATGATGTAGGAAGCGTTTCTCTTTGCTCTTATTGCTTTAATTTCTTTATTCTTTCGTTTCTCTTTTCACGCTCGTCGATACAATAACGAGAAACAACAAGAATCGCAGAACAATATACATACTAATAAAAGTAGTAGTGGAACATATAAGAAGGAACTGAGAATAACTTGATATGGTTATTTCATGTTTAAATCAAATATGACATGGTGATATAGATACATTGAACGACCATTAGCAGATGAATGAATGAGAAAATACTCAGAGAATAATGTTTAAATGCTAAGTTTTTACAGTAAAGTGTATATGTATATTTTAATGTATTTTATGAAACATGCCGATTAAATCAAAATGATGACTTTCTCAAATTAATTTAATCTACTCAAAAAATTAATCAAATTAAAATGGTTCATAGTTATAAATTGAGTTATAATTCGACATGTTTTAGCTCTCACAATGATTCACACCCACTCCGCTAATGGTATGAGAATTTTATTTTTGACAATTATCAACGATTGATAAGGCTAAGAAAAACAATCACATAATTCAATATTTAAAAGTATTTTTACTTTATGAAATCATATTCATTAGAGAACACATCAGAAAAATTTAATTTTATCGAAATATATAGTCTTAGGAAAATGTAGCTGCCCACTTCCCTATGAAGTGCTACTATTCTTAATAATATTGAGCAGATATTTTAGGTACATGTGTGTGACAATAATTCCTAATCACAAGCATCAACCATGTCGACATAAATATTTTCGTTCGACTCGTTATTTAAAAGCCCAATGTCATAGTTATCTCTCGTCTAAATTTTATTAGAAACCATTTTCAAATAACTAAGATATTGTCTTTTCATTAAGAATGTTTGTTGAACCTCAACTTCTAGTTTTTAGTAAGATGAATCTTTTTCATATATGAAACTGCCGTCAGCACTCGAAAGAAATATACTATGTAGTAGCTTGTGAAATAGCAAACTGAAAAACCAAAACTTTTTTAATGCATATTTTCGCTAGAAATGTGCAGTTTCAGTAAACTATTCACTAAAAACTCCTATGGACGCTTTTCACAAGGGACAGAGTATGTGTGAATCGATGAAGAGAGGATAAATAATTGTGATCAGAGTGCATTATCATATGCATACACTCAAAATATCAACTCTATGCCATAAAGAATAATTCACCATACGCAAAAGAAAAAAAAATAAATATCTATATTATATGTCATTTCGATAGTAGCCATATTGTCTTATAATAAACTATTTTTTGTACAACCATTATCGAATGGAATGTATGCGTCTTATTAGTTATTTGTAGTCGATTCTTTATTCTTTTTTTCGTGTTGATAAAGAAGAAAGAACTTTAAGTTCTCGATATCGTATCTAAATTATAAAACCAAGAAAAAAATATATTTCTCTCGTTCTAAAAACGAATTACTAACTAGTTGAGTATCGGAAGGTAATCGTGACATAAAATCAGCTAATTCATTATTAGGAATATAATCTTTAGGTTTGCCGAATCGTCTTGTAAATTCTCTAATAACAACGGCAAGAATTAAATATCGAAGAGGAATATAATAGAGTACTATTCCAACAAGTAAAAGTAGAATAGTAAAAAGAATGGATAACCAAGGAACAGCAAAATTAAATAAACTAAATCAACAAAAGAATATTTTAGAAATCAATATAATAAAATGTTTCTATTACTTTTTAATTCGTTCTAATGTTGAAGCAGTAGCATCTATATAACTTTGTATTTCAATGATTGTTTCTTGAATATTCTGTATAACACTAGTAAATGATACTTTCTGTTCCTAAAAAGTAGAAGAAAAAAAAAGAAAGAATTTATTTTAAAAATTTTATATAGATTTACTTTTGTATTAATATCACTATCTTCGATTTCTTCATATGTAGAAGCTGCTTGTACATTGACTAATGTTGTTTCATCACCTAAACTAGCATGAGATTTTTCAAGATGACCTTGACGATATTTTGCAATTAAATTTCGTGCCAATAAAAACAAAAGTACATAAGGTAACATATACAATTCAAAATTCCAAATAAAAACAAGAGTTACCTAAAATTTTTATCATTCTAAATAATATTTTTATGATTATTTTCTTACTATTAAAACCGAAAAACTCAATCGTGGATTTTCCCATCGAAAACAATAATCAATAAATTTTGCTACATCAACGACACCTTTTAGCATATTTTGAATACGTGTTACATGATGTTTTATAGCCTTAACATGAATAAACATGAGAATAAGAACGTTGTTAATGCAATCCCTGTAGATTTCTTTATTATTCTTTTAGCTAACTCTTGCCGTCATGGTTGAGTGACTTCATTGGGGAGCTGTCCAGAGCTACGACTAGTATTAGTTGTTGGGAAGACATCGAGCTACTGAGTTTACAACTTAACAGTAGTTCATACTGTAAGGTAAAAATAGTCTTCCTACGTCTGTCACAGTCTGTGATGTTCCAGTGATTATCTCTGTCTGATCTGCTTTATCAGAAATAAGTTTAATTGATGAAGCCGAAATATTTCACAAAAAAAGTTTGTGCAAAACTCGATGTGTTCTAAAACAAACATTTTCTACGTCTGCTTGATTAAGAAATGTAAACTGATGGAAAGAGAAAAGTGTTTGAACCTACGGTAGCCTACAATGGGCGAAGCTAGGGTAGACTTTCGATTTTCCAGGCCTCATCGCCACGCCGTGTAGTGGGGGGGGGGGGGGGGGGGGTGGGCAGTCTCCTCCCCGCAACTTGGCTTTGTTTTGTGGAGGGGACACACCAAAGGAAA